AACAAGAAAAAAATCAAGGAAACAGTTGGTCCACTAAAGAAAGAAGATGACTGTTGAGGTAATTCCCCGTTACGAGAATGAGCGCATACAGGGAGACGTATTTGAGAGTAGTGTTTGAATAATACACACACAGCACACAGATACACATTACAGTAAATGTAGGTTTTCAATAAAGGTTTAAGCAAAGTTCAAGATAAGCAGTCCAAAGTCATTCACAGGTAAGATCAGTCAGTTTTTAGTCCAGGGATAATCCAATAACAAAGTCCAGTGTCAAAAACAGTTCAGTATCAGACTTATATCAAATCCAAGAATATCAGTCAATTAGGAGGAACGACAATACTCTCCAACAGAAGGAAACAGAGACTCACTGAGACACACTCTCTTCTGAGACAAAGACTAAGGCTTAACAATCCAGGTTTCTGGCTCCATCTTATGGCTGTTTGAGAAACCACACCCAATTACAAATTTTGCATTTTCTGAAAGATACAGTTTTAAAATGTTTATCCTGGTTTATATATTTTCAACCCAAATAGCTGTTAGGTGACTTATATTCCTAACAATGACAATGAAGTAACAGGCAACAGAGAGAAAGCAGAGCTGCTTAACTCATTCTTTGCATCCGTCTTCACGTAAAAAGAAACTATAGCTCAACCCACCAAAAACATAACTGTAAAAGACAGACCAGAAATAAAAGTTAAAATAAGCAAAAAAATAGTAAGAGAACACCTGTCTGATCTTGATGAAAACAAATCACCAGGGCCTGATAGATGACATCCCAGAATTTTAAAGGAGCTGGCAGAGGTCATCTCAGAACCACTGCACCATATCTTTCAAAAATCCTGGAGCACCGGGGAACTACCAAAGGACTGGAAAAGAGCTGATGTGGTTCCCATCTTCCAAAAAGGAAAAAAAAAACAGACCCAGGAAACTATAGACCGATCAGCCTAACATCAATACCCGGGAAGATACTGGAAAAGATAATAAAAAAACCAGATCTGCCAACATCTAGAAACAAGTAAAGTAATAACTAGCAGTCAGCATGGGTTTGTTAAGAACAGATCATGCCAAGCCAATCTTATTTCATTCTTCAACACAGTGACTAAATTAGTAGACCAGCAAAATACTGTGGACATAATATATTTAGATTTCAGCAAGGCATTCGACAAAGTAGACCACAACCTACTTCTTAGTAAGCTAGAAAAAAGTGGAATAGATACCACAACCACTAGATGGACTCGCAACTGGCTGGCAAACCGTACTCAATGGGTGTACATGGTGGGAAGTAAGCAGTGGGGTGCCACAAGGTTCTGTCTTAGGCCCAGTACTCTTCAATATCTTCATTAATGAGTTCGATGAGGAAATAGAAGGGGAATTTACCAAATTTGCAGATGATACTAAGCTGGCAGGAATAGCTAACACCCAAGAAGATAGGCTCAAGGTCCAGATGGATCTTGACAGACTAGAACACTGGGCCACATCTAACAAAATGAAATTCAATGTAGAGAAAAGTAAAGTCTGACACTTAGGCAAGAAAAACCAAAAGTACACATATAGACTGGGTGAAACCAGGCTCAATAGCAGTAACTGTGAGAGGGATCTTGGAGTCTTAGTGGACAACCAGCTAAATATGAGCCAGCAGTATGCAGCAGCAGCCAAAAAAGCTGATGCAATCCTAAATTGTATTAACAGAGAGATACAATCAAGATCAAGGGAAGTACTAATACCACTCTATAAAGCCTTAGTAAGACCACACCTAGAGTACTGCATCCAGTTTTGTTCACCACATTATAAAAACGATGTTGAGACTCTAGAAAAAGTACAGAGAAGAGCAACCAGGATGATTAGGGGACTGGAAACTAAAACATATAGAGAATGGTTACAGGAACTGGGCTTGGCTAGTCTAGTGAAGAAAAGGACCAGGGGAGACATGATAGCGGTCTTCCAATATTTGAGGGGCTGCCACAGAGAGGAAGGGGTCCAGCTATTTTCTAAAGTGCCTGTAGACCAGACAAGGAATAATGGATGGAAACTGATCAAGGAGAGATTTAACCTGGAAATAAGGAGAAACTTTCTGACAGTGAGAACAATCAACCAATGGAACAGCTTGCCCTCAGAAGTTGTGGGAGCGCCATCACATGAGATTTTCAAGAAGAGATTGGACTGCTATTTGTCAGAAATGGTGTAGGTTCTCCGGCTTGGGCGGGGGGTTGGACTAGATGACCTACAAGGTCCCTTCCAACTCTCATTATCTGTTAAATCTGTTATTTAAATCCTCAAAATATTCTATCCCTAGTTTAATTGGAATTGTCTGAAACAAATATAATATCCTTGGTAATATATTCATTTTAATTGTAGATATTCTCCCTATTACAGGGGTCCCCAACCACTGGGCCGCAGACCGGTACCAATCCATGGAACATTTCCTACCAGGCCGCCGGTTTGCTGGGCGCCGCCATCTTGTTTGACAAGAAAGTGCTTCCGGGTGAGCTTTTCTGGTTGGAAAGCGGCGTTTGGGTCCTGAAGGAATCCTCGCGCCTTAGTTTCATTGAAGGGGGGGCTTTGAACGAAACTAAGGCACGAGGATTCTTTCAGCACCCAAGGCAAGGCGAGCTGAGCGACTGTCCCGAAGCCATCCCGAAGCGAAGCCCATCGACAAAGGTACAAAGGAGGAGTTGAAGGTGGCGAGGAGAAGTGGGCGACAGCTGGCTGGCCAGTCGCTTGGCTCGCCTTGCCTTGTCATGCGTGCTGATGCCAGTACTGGGCTGCGGATCATTTTGTGATGCCAGTACTGGGCCGTGGCACAAAAAAGGTTGGGGGCCACTGCCCTATTAGAGATAGTTGTAAATTTTCCCATTTTTTCAAGTCTGTCGCAATCTGTTGTTTTAGTTTATAATAATTATCTTATTTTAGTATTCCACATCTTGCTGTTAAATGTATTCCTAAGTATTTAACTTTATTTGTGATCTGGATATTCAGTCTCTCTGTTAATTCTTTCTTTTGTTTTTCCATCATGTTTTTAACTAATATCTTAGTTTTATCTTTATTTATTTTCAATCCTTCCACCTGCCCATATTCTTCAATTTTTTTCTATCAGTTTAGACGCTGTTTTCAGTGGTTCCTCCAATATGAAAACCAGATCATCCGCAAATGCTTGCAATTTATATTCCTCCTTTTTTATCTTCATTCCCTTTATTTCACTATTGTCTTAATATTTCTGTTTAACACCTCCAAAATCAGTACAAAAAACAGTGGCGACAGAGGACATCCTTGTCTAGTTCCTTTTTTAATGTTAATATTATCTGTTAAATCTCCATTTATCATTATTTTAGCAGATTGCTTATGGTATATTGCCTCGATTGCTTTCATAAATCTTTCTCCAAAACCCATTTGTTCCATTTGTAATATCATAAACTGCCAATTTACATTATCAAAGGCTTTTTGCGCATCTAAAAATACCAAGGCCATTTGCTTCTCTGGATGTGTTTCATAATATTCCAATGTATTCAGAATTATTCTCATACTATCTTTACTTTGCCTCTTAGGCAGAAATCCATTTTGATCAGTGTGTATAAAGTTATTCAGATATCTTGTTTTAAATAAAAGTTTTATTTCAATTTTCCACATTTTTTAAGAAACATCTCTTTTTAGTGAACAGCATGACTCCAGGTTTTCACATCTCCGTACAGACATAATTTGGTTTACATATTCATCTTTCACTTTTAGTTTATATCAACCTCTACTTTACATATTTTCTATTATTTTTCACATATATTTTCCTCAGGCTTATTTATAAATTTTCCATTCATTTCTTAACCTATTCCTTTTAGCTTTAACTAATTTTCATATCATCATATTCATTATACTTATACTTTTATCTGTCATAATTACAATTTCATCACATATTCTCATTTCATCATTTCAAGTAATTCCATCTTAATTCAAACACTTGAAAACAAACAATTCCCCTACAAATACCAATTAAAGTGTGCCACCCCTATAGCTTATATATCATCTAATGAGTTCCCTTTTAAATCCCAATAGTTATTCAACTTGATTATCCCCCTAAACATTTATAACAGTCATCTTCTAACAACTACCTAACAAATATACCTTTTATAGCAGATTATGCATGGTGTTTTCCCCTTCAATTACATCAAAGACATTTATAATATAGTAAAAGAAAAAAAATCTATTTAAATCATCATAAAGAACTGATGTTAATTTCATTACAACAATTCTCATATTTCATTTTAACTGTATTCTATAAATTCATTAATCATAGTTATTAAACTTATTATAATTTTTCTTTGTTCACATTCTTCCATTTTTCCCCACTTATAATCTCATTACAACAATCTTCATAATTCATTTCAATTATATTCCATAACTTTATCAGACTTAAATAATAAGTTTATCATAATTTCTCTTTCATCACAGTAATTCCATTTATCTCTATGTTTAGTTTGACAAAAAACAGTATTTCAATAACAAAAAAAAAATCAGTTCCAATCTTACATTTTAATAATCTATATTTCCCTACTTGCTAAATAGTTTAATACCTCTAATATATTTATACTACACCTTGGCACCTTGCAGTATCCTCTTTCTCAATTCTTAGTTAACCATTATCTCTATGTCTTTTAAATAAACAATTTCTTTTCATTTTTGTACGATTTCCATATTTCTTTCTTTTCTGGTTCTGTATTTTAACACTTCTTTTCCCCTTCATTTTTTCCCTCCTTTTCTTACTCCAATTTTTATCCCACTCCCTTTTTAAAACTTCCTTCTGCAAATCCCTTTTCTGATGTTTCCTTTTACTTTGTTTGGATCTCAAAATATTCCCCTTTTTAGTTGCCTCCTCAAATTTCAAATTTTTAATTCCCTAATTGTTTAGCAGGGATATAGGTCTATAGTTTTTTATTTGTTGTAGATCGGTATCCTCTTTAGGTATAAGAGTAATATAAGCCTCTGTCCATGAGTTAGGTATTTTAGTTTTTGACAAAACCTCATTCATCACTTCAAGCATTGAAGTACTTAAAGATTCCTGTAAAGTCTTCTGGGCCTGGAGCCTTCCTAGTATTTTGTCTGTTTAGTGCCTCTGTCAGTTCCATCATTGTTATTTTCCCTTCTAACATTATTTTAATATCTTCAGGTATTTGGGGTAGCTCTGCTTTTTGCAAATATTGTTTAACTTTTTCTTTTTCAATATTTTCTTGATTATATAATTTCTCATAGTATTTCTGTACTATCTCTTTCTTTTCTTCATTTCCATTGCAAACCATTCCTTGATCATCTATAAGTTGTATTATATTTTTCATTTCTCTCTCCTTTTTCAATTTATATGCCAGCCATCTGCCTGGTTTGTTTGCATTTTCAAAGAAATTCTGTTTAGCACTCCTAATTTTTTGAGCTAATTCTTCTTTTTCCATCAACCCCATTTTTTGTTTAACTATTTCCATTTGACTTTTAATATTCTTTTTTTATGGATATTTTTGTAGTTCTTTCTCAAGTTTTCTATAGCCTTCATCTAACATTTGTTGTATTTGTCTTTTTTTAGTATTTCTTCTCATGTAGTCTATAATCAAGCCTCTGGCATAGGCCTTCATGGTATCCCATAAGTTTTGTAGTGAAGTTTCCTCCGTGTTGTTTTCTTTAATGAAAAAAGCCAGTTCTTTTCCCATCTTTTGTGTAAATTCTTTTTCTTTCAATATTGCGTTGTTCAGAGTCCATCTTGATCTTTCCCTTTGTTCCTGCCATTTGACCCATATTGGATTATGGTCTGCCCAAGTACTTGCTTCTATATTTAATTCTTGTATATTAGAGATTAATTCCATTGACATCTAAATCATATCTATTCTTGACCATGATAAATGTCTATTGGAGTAGAATGTATATTGTCTATTCTTAACATTCATTTCTCTACAAATATCTCGAATGCTTAATTCCTCTACCATTTTGAAGAAGGATTTCGATAGTATCTTTCTGTTTTGTTTTTTTAACTTTCTGTGTTGTATAATCCATTTTTGTATCCACTGTCGCATTGAAGTCTCCCATAATGCATATATTGTCGAATTCCTGTTCTATTATTTTTTAATGTAGTTTCTTGTAGAATTCTTCTTGCTTTTCATTGGGAGCATAAATTGCTATTAAGAGCATCTTTACATTATTGTCAATTATTTCCACCATTAATATTCTTCCTTCTTCATCTGTAAAAATTACTTCAGTTTTAATTGTATTTTATATATATAAGACCACTCTTTTTTTATTGTGCCAATGATGTAAATAAATCCCCAATTTTAGGATGTTTCAGTACTTGAACATGTTGTTTTTTAAGTGAACTTCTTGCAAGCAGATTATATCTAATTTTAATTTTTCTAATTTGTCCGATATTTTTTTCCTTTTGATGGCCAAATTCAATCCATTTATATTTATTGTAATCAATTTCTTTTCTTCCATTGTTTATACTTTTTTATGTAGGGTTTATTGCTCTTGTAGTTCTTTGCTCTCTTACTTCTTTGAATTCCACCCTTCCACCTACTGCTCCCTCTTCAGATGTCTTTTCATCCTGTATTTCCTTATCTCTTGTTTCAACCATCTCCTCTTGAAATTTAACTATTTCCTTCTCTTGTATCCTCTCTTCTTCTTTTCCTTGAAAGTATTCTCCATAAAATAATTCTGCTTTCTTTATTGAATCCAATCTATGTCATTGCTTTTGCCAAGTAAATATGAGACCCTCTGGGATCAACCATCTATAGTTCATTCCCTTCTTTATTAATTTTTTTGTCAAGAATTGGTATTCTCTTCTCATTTCTCTCACTTTTCTTGGTACTTGTTTTAGGACCATAATCTCCTTTCCTTTGTATTTCAATGGGTCATCTGTTGCACTTTGTAATATTTGTGTTTTGATTGCTGTCTTAGTAAATCTTACATGGACTTCTCTAGGTAGTTTATTTCTCATTGCATATCTTGTAAAGACTTGATACACTTCATCTATTCCATCCATCATTTTCTCTTTGGATATCTTCAAGGCACCTGCCAGCATTTCTATCATTGTTTCAGCAAGGTTTTCTCCCTTTTCTTCCTTGATATTTTGAAATCTGAGATAAAAATCTGCCTGGTCCATCTCCCAGGCCAACATTCCAGTTCCTTTGTCGTTTTCCACAACTGACAGTCTGCTGTCAATTTCTCCAACTTTTTTTATCTCTCTGGTCACCATTTTCTCCTATCTTTTGAAATCTTTCTTCATTTTTCATCATCATTTGTTGTATATTGTCTTTTTTCTCATCTGTCTTCTCTGTTCTGTCCTCTATCCTTTGTATTGCTTGCATTATCACTTATAATATGGCCTCCTTTTCCTTTTCTTTGTCTCTCTCTCTCTCTCTCTTGCTGCAACATAGTGTGTATTGACTGCTGACCAATGAGTGGTGTGGAGGAAGTAGGGATTGATGAACCTGTAGCCGTTGCTTTTCTTATTCCAATTAAATGTAGATACAAAAAAATAAAGAAAACAAAAGAGAGAGAAAATGCCACAGTCTTCAGGTTCTTCTTAACCTCAATCCAATTAAAAAGGGAAAGAAGAATTAAAAGAGTTAAAAATAAAAATAATGATGAAAACCATGAAGAAAACCCAATTACATAAAAACATAAAAATCAGAAAAAGAATAAAAATGTTTAAAAATATAAAAGTAATCCACCATTAGTATTAAAAAGGGAACAGAAAAACCAAAAAACCAAAAAGAAAAAAGTTTATATTCCAATGCTAGAGCTAAAACCAAATTAAAGGCTTAGAAAAAGACCAGAAAGACCAGGCCTAGAATGTCCACCAGCTATCAAAGCGGAGTGAAAAGCGAAAAAAATCAGTTGAAGTTTAAAAATAGTGTTGAGGTAATTCCCTGTTAGGAGAATGAGCACATACAGGGAGACGTAGTGAGAGTAATGTTGAATAACACACAAACAGCACACAGTTACACTGTACAGTAAATGTAGGTTTTTACTTCCAATAAACGTCCAAGCACAGTCCAAGATAAGCAGTCCAAGTCATTCACAGCTAAGGCAGTCAGTGTTCAGTTCAGGGATAATCCAAATATCAAAGTCCAGTATCAAAAAACAGTTCAGTAACAGACTTACATCAACTATCAGTAACAGTCATTTAGGAGGAACGGCAACTCTGTCCAACAGAAGAAACAAATACTCACTGAGACTTCCTGAGACTAAACAACCCAGGTTTCTGGTTCCATCTTATGGCCATTTGAGAAACCACACCCAATTACAGTTTTTGCATTTTCTTAAAGACATAGTATTAAAATGTCTATCCTAGTTTATATATTTCCAACCCAAATAACTGTTAGGTGACTTACATTCCTCACAAATATGTCACAAAGTAAATCACTGCCACCAAACAATGTCCAAGGCACACTATCCAGTCCAGCAAAATATATCCAAAGTCACAGTGAGTTCTTTTCTTTCAACTTCAATCTCCAGCCGTTTAGTTTATTTTACAAGAGGAGCACCTGCATAAACATTTCTTCAGTGCTCAAGTCTCTATCTTCTCTTGATGTAAACAACCTGTGGCTAGGAAAATTTTCTCACAGTTCATTCCTTCAGTTCCATCAAAAGGATTTTTTAAAGCCTCTGGGTGGCAGTGTTACTTTACTTTGCTTAACTTTCACTCCTTCTTTACAATGTAACCAAGACAGGAAAAAGTCTCTAATGCAAAAGATTCCCTTTCAAAGAGAAAAAAGAAAACTAACGAATTATCCAATTTCTCCCTTTAAAATAAGTATTAGTATTTGTCTTTTATTAATTGCAACTGAAAAGTCCAGTCCAGGTTAAAAAAATTCTTTAATTTGACAAAAGGTTTACTTTCACCGCTGTTTCCTCTTCAGTCTTTTATATTCTTAAATTCTTTCCCCCCTTAGTGTGCTCTCTTGTCAAAAAGAAAAAAGTTAAAATCTCACCCAAAGCCAACACTCTTTCTTTCTTTCTTTCTTTCTTTCTTTCTTTCTTTCTTTCTTTCTTCTTCCATTCCGGAGCTGTCCCAACCTTTCAGCAGCTTCAATGGCTGCTTTACTCCACAGCTGAATTGGAGAGCTTTTCCTGGATCAACCAGGGACTTTGCAATGTCTCTGGGATCTACAGGATGTGCTCTCTTCAATCACCATCTCTACGGGACAGTTTAGGTTCAAATGGACTGTCCAGCTGTGGAGATACTGGCACCGGTCCTTGAGCCCTGAGATCGTTCATCATACCATTGCGACATCAGCCCCGCCCTCCCTAAAGATACTAGAAGCCAAAAGATACTGGACTAAAATTCATACATGGCTGGAAAAAATGACAAAACAGCATATAGACTTGAAACCAGAGATATTTTTATTGGGTATCTTACCTGAAGAATACAGTAGAGAATTGATATATTTGATTATTAATGTTTTAACAGCAGCTAGAATTGTATTTGCTCAAAACTGGAAAAATGAAGAAATTTTGATAGAAGAAGAGGTGATAAAGACAATAATGGAATGTGCAGAAATGAGTAGATTGACATTAGCAATTAGAGAGCAAGAAGAAAAAGAATATTATAGAATATGGGATTTATTTTATCAATGGTTAGATAGGCAAATAGGAAAATAAAATATATTATAATATAAATATAATACAATAGTAATGATATGTTATAATTGATTATTATAGAAGAAACTAAAATATGAACTTGAACATGTAAAAGTTGAAGTGGGCTCAAAAAGAATAATGTGAATTTGTAATTAAAGTCTAACAATGATGTAATGTTTATATAATATGACATGGAAAGTTGAATAATAGAATATGAATATAAATTTAAATTTAAGAGGGAAAGACTATTGATAATGTGCAGAAGAAATATGTACCAACCGACACACTGTACAATTGAAAGAAGGTTTTATTTGTTGTTTTGTGTTTGTGTTTGTTTATGTTTTTTGTTAAAAATAAAAAAAATGGTTAAAAAAATACAATTCAGTTGGCATGCTTTTT